GTTAGAATTCAAAACTATAAATCCCTCATTTTTGCTCTGTTCCAGAACCTGCAAAAACCTACTACTCTTGCAATTTTTTCCGATATCATAAAGGGGAAAATCGGTTATCGTTGTAAAAACTTTTACATTCTTGCAGTTCTGGAACAGACCATTTATTAGTACATGAATTCACACGAAATTTCTTAACGCAGTGTGAAAACGGGAGAAATGGTGGTAAAAGCCCCATGTCCTACGAAAAAAAATATTTTCCCTTTTTTGTTCTAAAAACAAGAATAGTAAAATAATAGGCCGACTGACCTATAATCAACGCCAAGCCGAAACGGCTGAAACTAGAATTTTGGTCAGTCTTATTGCATAGACGTGTGATATGGCTGGATTTTTGACAATTCGTACTAAAAGGGTGCGAAAAGTACTAAAATGAACTAAAAAGTGAATACTATGTATTAGACAAACAAAATGAGCAAGACTATTGAAATTTGGAAAGAAAGTATCCAGGATAGACGTAACAAGGGGTTTTCAAACTTTAAGGAAAAGTTCTAAAATGGTACTAAACTCCTAAAATTGTACCATTTGGTATTATGTAAACAGATAGAGCTAGAAACTTAAATTTGGTATGAGAATCAAGTTTTGAAAGTAATTTCGATATATGAAGGTGGTTTTTGAAATGTATACTAAGTGTGCGAACCGTACTAAATGGTACTAAATTTGGAACAGTCGGTTTAGGGTAAAGAGATGAAGCTGGAATTTTTAAAATTTGTATTATTTTGTGATTAAGAAGAGATTTTTCGAAATGTGAAAAAAGTACTATATTTGGTACAACTTGGTATTAGGTGAACAGATGGTGCTTCAAATCTTAAATTTGGTATTAGGGTCTCTGGCCTGGACATATGGAGGTGATTTCGGAAATGTGTACTATAAAAGTTCGGAATGGTACCATATTTGTATTGGGTGAAAGGATAAGGCTAGAATTCTCAAAATTGGTATTGAGGTCTCTGTTGGTAGCTGGAATTGAGATATGGAAGTACTTTTGGAAATGTGTTCTTTAACTGTACGAAAAGTACTAAATATGGGGTGAAAATTATTATTCTTCGAAAGTACTAAATTCTACTAAATTTTTGTATTGAGTGAGGGAATACAGCTGAAATACTCAAATTTTATATGGATATCACTGTTGGTGCCTGTGGAGGTGGTTTTAGAAATCTGTAGTATAATTGTACAATAAGTACTAAATTTGATATAGGGTAAAGGTATACGACTGGAATCCTTAAGTTTGATGTGGAGTTCATATTTGGTGTCTGTGGTCAAGATATGGAGCTGATTTTGGAAATGTGTACTATAATTTTTGAAAAGTAATAAGTGGTACTAAATTGGGTAATAGGTGAAGGGATAGAGCTGGTATCACGAAATTTGATATTCAGGTCTCTGTTGGTATCTGGGATTGAGGTATGGAAGTGGGTTTGGAAATGCGTACTATAATTCTTCGAAGAGTACCAAATTTGGTATTGGGTGAAAGTACTGGGCTGAAGTTCTCAAATTTGATATTATGTTATATATGTTGGTATCTGAGATTGAAATATGGAAATTGTTTTGAAAATTTATACTATAATTGTTCGAAAAGTATTAAGTGGTTCTAATTTTGGATTGCTGTTGGTTTGTAAGATGGAGAGATGTAAATTGTCTTGGACTAAATATTACTAAATTTGGTATTTGGCGAAGTGATTGAGCTGGAATTCCGAAATTTGATATTGAGGTCTGTGTTGGTTTCCAGGGTTTACGAATGGACACGTTAAAATAATTTGGACAGAAAAAATGGACGTTGGTTCATTGTCCATTTTAATAGCATCATCCTCGGTAAACAACAAAATGAAAGATTTTGAAGATTTTCTAGTGTAAGCAGTAAAAGAAAAAAATTGATATTATATTTTTCTATACCACTCGAGTAAGAGTGGGAGTAAAATTAGCTGAAAGCCCAAAATGCCAAATAACATTAGTTATTGGGGCCTACTCCAAAAGGATTGACTCCGGTCTTAATAAAAAGGTTTAAAACTATTTGATTTTCAAGGAAACTGTGTAACCTGGCCAATTTGTCTTCGCCTTTGCGTGACCATCGAAGCACGACACATGTGTGCTGCAATGTTCAGTGACCGTGGCCTTAAAAGTATATTTCTTCCTTTTCAACAAAAAAATGAGCAGCGGCATTGCATTTTGCTTTGTGTAATTGCTGCCACTGCAGCCGGCCGTCTGGTGCAACTTCTGCCACTTCAGCGGTGAGTTGCCTGCAGTTGGCTGCAACTTCAAGAACAAGTTTTTCCTGTCGGTTAGTCACCGGCAAACTTAAGTCGTTGGCGTTTTTATTTATTTTGTTTTGTAACCCGGTCTTCGGCCTACGGGCTAGCCTTCTCGATTGCAGCCAGCTTGTTGAAGGTGAAGGTAATTGCCTGACTTTCAGTGCAAAACTTGTTTTGCAGGAGCTTTTGTGGCTGGTACATGCCATACAGTCGCGTGTAAAGGCACGCGTGCACCATGAAACATCCTTGGCTTGACAACGGCTTTGCAGACTTCTGAATTTATTGCAGCAGCAAGAAGAAGGCTGCAAGTTATTGTGTTTGGGTTTCTTGTCCAAAACAAAGTAACAACAACACTTTACAATTTATTTTGGTTTTGTGTTTCCTTTGGTTTCGTTTCTTGTGTTTCAAATTAACTGCCAAGTTTGGTTCGGTTTTTTTGCTTCGATTTGTGGCAAACTTGTTTTCTAAACTTATCGCCGCATTTTTAATGGTTTCCTATTGTTATTCTGCCTTGCTTCGTTGCGGGTTTGGCTATTTGCCGGCTGGCTGGCAATGTTTTTCTTGGCTCATCTCTGTCCATTTTTTTTTTTTTGGAGTTGATGTGGCCAAAATGAAGTAAAAACTTGCCCCCCAGAGCTGATGTTTGCACAAAATTCACAACTCAATCACGCAACTTCTGCATTACAGTTAACAAAACCGAAAAATGTCCCTCCTCCTCGCCGAAAACCATTTGAAAATTATTTTCCATTCCATTAACAATATTTGGTGTGAATTTGGATTCGTGTGTGACTCGCTGACTGGCTGGCTGGCGTGTGAGCGAGTGTGTCTTTGGCTTTGTCTGATTGCAAATTAATTTCATTGCTTGGATTTGTTTGGATTTACCCTGCATTTGTTGCTCATCTTCATTTGATTGCGGTTTATCCAACCATCCGCTTCTTTTTTTTTTTTTGTTTAGTTTTCTTTTGAACGGAAGTAAAGTTTATAATTTCTCCTAATTTTACATAATTGCTTTGTTTTTTGCCTTGTCTTTTCTTTGCTACCCTCAAATTTCCTTAATCTTCTCGCCTCAATGGGAAACGTGGAGAGTGCAAATGAAAAACGTGTATTTTGGCTTTCAACAATTATTGCCGGAAACTATTTTGAGGTTTTGACATCAATTGAACTGAGGTGTCTTGCGGAAAAATTGTAAATAATTTTTTCTGTTGTTAATCAAAGATGTTGACAAATTAGAAAATACAAATTATGTATTTCTCTTGACTTCTTTACATGCCTTCCAATGCAATATTTGTATGTTTGTTGTAGCTTTCGAAGACATAAAGATTTTTTTATACTTGTTCGTTCATAAAAACAGGATTAATAACATAGGCCTACAGGGTGAGATAAAAAAAATGCAAGAAAGTCAAACTCCATAATTTTTCTATTTTTTTTTTTTTTTTTTAATAAAAAATGTCGGAAATAACATCAATTTTTAGAATAAGTTTAGATTTTTTCGAATTTGGGTCCTTTGACACGAATTATGGCCTTCAAACGGCCAATGAAACCGTCACACGCTGCCCGAATGTTGCTCTGCGGTATTTTGGCCCATTCCCGGTGAAGCGCTTGCTTGAGGTGATCGACACTTTAGTATTTTTTTGTGCCAACCTTGCTTTCCATAATACTCCAGACACAATAGTCCAGCGTGGAACCTGGACTGTAACCTGTAACCATTCTTGAGTGGCGCGTGCTGAGTCCTGTCGGAATGTCCAAGGTCTGCGGCCAAAGTGTTTGCATGCTCAAGGCTTTAATACACCCTCCAGAATATTTTCACAATAATATTCGGCATTTATTCTGATGCCACAGTCAATTAATACGAACGGAGAGCGACTATCGGCTGTTATGTCGGCCTACTCCATCACCATGGCAGGTTCTTGAGTTCTGGTGGCCCACCGAAGGTGCACATTTTTAGCTAACCTCTACGGCAAGTAAACACGATAATTTTGTTTGTTTCTTTTGAGTCTATTTTCTTTCTGTTGCGGTGCAAGTTCTTGCACTTTTTGGAAATTCAATGGCTTTACCCCGAGCTCATTTTTCAATATTTGCCGAATGGAATATTGCGATATGTTCAGCTCACGAGCCATTTTTCGGCCACTGCGACGCGGGTTTCGACCACTTCCTTGACGTCAGGCTACGCTACCAGAATCACGGTAACGAGCGATGGTACGGGACACAAAAGATTTATTCACATTTAAATACTGGAGTGCTCCAACGATAGCCACTTATGGTTTTCCAGCCAAATATAAAGAAATCACACTATTACGCTTAAATTCCATCACGAATAACTTTTTTTCTGGAAAATTTTTGCTTTTGTACGCTTGTAAAGAGTATAATGAGCTGTCTCTATAATAATTTTAACGGCTGTCGAACGAGTGGCTTAGAAATGAGAGCAATCTGAATTTGGTTGCAGTTTTTCATCTCGCCCTGTACTATATAGCATTATATTCTATATAGTTCATGTAGTATAACGTTTCTCACAAGTATAACGATTTTTAGGAACGCTTGAAAGTATGCCACAAAAATGTTTAATATAAAATGTGAAAAAGTCTCTAACATGCCTTAAGCCTTAAAAATATATCTAACTATATATTTCACTTTTCTCATCACTTTCACAAATAATTTCATTGATAAATTTCTCTTTCTAATGGCATTTCTTCTCCTTCTCTTTCCCAATTACAGCTATGACACCGGCCGTGATGGCTATTTGGATTTAACCGAACTGAAATATATGATGGAGAAATTGGGTGCCCCACAAACACATTTGGGCCTCAAGGAAATGATCAAAGAAGTCGACGAAGATAACGATGGCAAGATCTCGTTCCGGGAATTCCTGTTGATCTATCGCAAAGCCCAGGCCGGTGAATTGGACAATGACTCGGGTCTGAATCAATTGGCTCGTTTGACTGAAATCTCCGTCGAAGAAGTCGGTGTGAGTGGTGCGAAGAATTTCTTTGAAGCCAAGATTGAGCAGCAACTGCGTTCAAATAAATTCCATGATGAAATCCGACAGGAACAAGAGGAACGCCGACGCCAAGAAGAAGAGAAAGCCAATCGGCGTTTATTGTTTCAACAGAGAGCTGCAATTTTTCAATAAATTACAAAATGTGGCAGGGGCGGGATGAATTGCAATTGAAAGTGAAACACTAGGCTTGCTTTGAAATGAAGAGAAAAACAATTATTTAATGTCCCACACACACACACACACACACAGATATACATTTATATACAGATTTTTTAAGCTTTAAAGTTGTGGTAATATATTTTTTAGGTTCTAGATTTATTTGTATGATTTTTGTTTGTGTACTTCTGTTTCCTTTCTCTTTGTTTTATACTTTCTTTCGTGGTACACACATACATATATATGTTATAATATAGAATTTAGCAAAACAATTAGTTATTATTAAAGAACAAAAATACAAAAAAAATTGATAGATTGATATTCATCATCAGCACATGTTTAGGGAACTTTATTCGTCTCATTCTCAGAAAAAATAATCAAATCGATTTTATTTCTAATTTTCTTAAGGCATCACATAAATTCGAAACTAATTGGTTTTGTCGTTTTAATTTAATAATAACTAAATAAAATATCATAATCATAGACATACCACATATTTATCATATAATGTGCTACATAATCATACAAAAAAAAACATACATTTTATATACATAACGCGCAATAAATCATTGATTGCACTGCATTTGCATTAATATACAAAATAAAAACTTATATAAATATACTATACATATAAAATAAAAACTATTTCCTATATATAAATATTTTTTTCTAAACAAAAAAAACAATAATTATATAAAATATTAATTGCAAAAACAAATTATAAAAGAAATAATAATACTAACAATTCATACTTTTACAAAAATGACTTGAATATGCTACAGCCTAAAAATATGCAATTGTAAAGTGGAGATACCGTCTATAATATAGATCTATAATATAGATCTTCTTTATTTACCAAGTGCTTTTATAATGGGAATACATATATTGTGTTGAAAACCCTTGTAATATGCGCCGCAAAAATGCTATAAAATAGAAGTACTTTTCTAAAAAAAATCTTTTCTTATTTCCGATTCATAATGGAAAAAAATATTCAAACGGCTAACTCGTCTGGCTATGCCGTAGCCTGGTCAATTCTCCGCTGGCTTGTCGGAGTAACACTTAACACTTTGATATCGAAGTGAACTCTAAAATATCCATCTTTTAATACAGGGTCTCCCAAATATTTTTTCTGAAAATACTATAACAAAGAAGTATTTTCCATAGAAATCTTTTCTTATTTCTTATCAATAATGGAAAAAATATTCAAATACCTGACTTGGCTGGCCATGCACTAGCCTACACGGCTGGTGCAATTTTGAAGCCCAGCTGTATTTCACCAATGTCTTCACGAATATTGTCCTTTAAAGTGTCAATTGTCTCTGGCTTGTCGGAGTAATACTTATCTTTGACGGCACCCCACAAGTCATAGTCCAAGTGTGTAAATTCCCAGCTTCAAGGTGGCCAACTGGCACCTGATTTGTGGCTGATAGTGCGATCTTCAAAAACATTGCGCCAAACATCGAGTGTAGCTTCGGCTGTGTGGAAACAAAATGTTGTCGATATCCTCCTTCTTCCATTTTCGTGGACAAAAAATCATTAAAAAATGTCCCAATTATGCCTCTGGACCAAAATTCACACCAAAATTCTGCGTGCGGGTTTTGTGCCCCAAATGCGACAATTTTGCTTGTTTACATACGGAGGACAAGCAAAATTGTTTTTTGGACAAAAAATTAATCAAAAATGTCCAAATTATGCCTCTGGAAAAAAATTCACACGACAATTTTGTTTCTTTACATACGGAGCTAACGTTGCTTTTCTTCTTCAAATATCCGTTTTCAATTTTTTTAGGAGATCGAATCCTGGTAATCGAACTAAGAGTGTCTATATTTTAGGCTGTACCACATTTAAAATCTATATTGTTCTTTAAATTATGTAGCATTGTGTTATTTTGTAATTGTTTTTTTTTTTTTAAGAAAAAAATATTTTCTTTGTAAACCAAATTATCTTGCAAAATATTTCGTTTTGTTAAAATGTATTATATTAAGTTGTATTCTTTCATAACTATTATTGTATGTTAAATGAAGAAATTCGATCGATGTTGTAATCAAATTTATGAAAACAAGAAATATAACTTCTATCCCAAAAAAGAAATTAATATATTTTTGTACTCTGCGATAGACCTCGATCGAGTTTCTTTTGCTTGATGTCCTGTATTTTCAAATAGATTATCGAACGTTTAGAGACTTTTTTCGAAAAATTATTTGAAAATTCGATTTTAAATAATGAAAAAGAAAGATACTTTTAATTTTGAACCAACATAAATCTTTCTTGTCATCGATCAAATTCATAATTGAAACAGGCAACAAATACATACGCATAATATATTTCCCCTTCAATTAATTATGAAATGTTATGTTCTATTTTTTTATTTTCGAATTAGTGCCATTTGTTTTATTTGAAAGCTTACCTGCAAAATTCGTTATCATTTTCTGTTTTCGAAAATAATCTAATTTCCCATACAAAAATGTGAAAGAGATTCTAAATGTTTTTTAATAAATATTCAACAATAGACCTAACCTACAATTTATGTAAACCAACAAAATATATTTTACAAAGATAAGCCAATATCTTGTTCAAATAACACAGTTGCTCCCATATTTTTTATTGAAAAATTTATTATAAACGATTTCAAAGAATCACAGAAGACAAATTTATATAACCATATTCTGCATTAAAATTGTCGAGAAGCAACTGCTTACTTTTCATTGTAAGCTATTTTATTTAAAACCAAACAATCACCACACAAATTATAAGTATGTAAATATGAGTTAATTTTGATTTTGTTTTTTCGTTATTTTTTGATTTTTAGTTTTCCTTGAAAATATTTGATTTCCTATTTTTTTAACTTTTATTGCAGTATTTTTCTAAAATGATTTTACATTAGCAAACAACAATAACTAAATTAAGTTAAAATATATATATTTTTGCATTGATGTCAAATAACTTTTTTTGTATAAGTGTAAATAAAAAACAAAATATTAATAATAAAAAACAATTAAAACATTTTGCGATGTTTCTTTCGATTTTTAGAAAATATTTACAAAATAATAAAAAAGCAAGCCTTTCTTCTCGACAAGATAACCGCTTCTGTAACAAAATTTCGTGATGAACATATAAAATGTAAAAACAAGTAAAAATTCATTAAGTTTGGTCGGACCGAACATTTAATACCCTCCATCATTGGGTAAAGAAAATATTTTATATAAAGTATCTGAATTCAAATGTGTTCCACTTAAAACTACAAATACCAGTAAGGATTATCAAAATACCGAATATCGTTTGGTATTGTTGTGTGCGCTATAGGAAAACGTGGACCGGAACTAGAACCCAGTATAAACTACAAAAATCATAAAAATACCGAATATCGGGAGTTACCGTTATATGGGTGATATACCAAAACGTGGACCTATATATACTATCTTCCGCCATAAAAGCTAAAACCCAAACGAACTACAAATAACAATTTTAAGACAAATCCGTTGAAAATTTTGGCAGAGATCATAAAAATACCGAATATCGAAAGTTACCGTTATATGGCGGCTATTCCAAAATGTGGACCAAAATATCTCATTTTCAATACCAACCATCCTAGACACAATACAAATTGGTCTGCCAAATTTTGAAGCTCTGCGTCAAATAATGTGGACTATATCGAGATTTCAACAGACAGACGGACATCGTTAAATCGACTTAGAATTTTATTCTGATCATGAATATATATACTTTATGGGGTCTACGCAGAATATTTAAGGATGTTACAAACGGAATGACAAAGTTAATATACCCTCCTTTTCGAGGTGGAGGGTATAACAAGTTAAAAAGTATCAGTCGGTTTTGCCGACTTCTGACTTCTGTTATGATAATTCAAATTGTTGACTCTCTATGGAGTAGGTTCCGAAGGAATGGGCCAATACTGGCCATTTCGTATCAGACCTAAAAAAATGATTGGACTACATTGGTTACTTCCTTCACTTCACCTTCACCAGATATAGTCGACCGAAGTATTCCATTTTCATACTACATACTAATACAGATACAAGAAAATAGAACATTTATATCCAATTTTATGCGAAATAATAAATGCCATATTCATATCAGGTTTCTGGTTGAAAGAAATATTTAGATATAGCAAGTTGTAAAGAATCGCTGATTTGTTTCGCAATTCATGACAAATTGAAGTATGGAAATTTGTGACCCTTTGTGGGTGATATATCAGAAGGGGATCGCAGATATATACCAACTTCAGAACGAATCTTTTGTTAGCAAACATGTTTGTATGTGTGAAATTTAAAGAGAGTTGGATGCTTATTTCGCTTTCTTGACCATTTTATTTTTCAAAATCTTTAACCCCGTATAGGGGGGAAGTACCAGAAGAAATAGTCCGATCTCAACCATCTTTATAACAGATCTTCTGTTGTTGGAAATGTTGAGATGTACCCATTCTGAATGAAATCGGATGTTAATTTCGCGCTTTATGTGCTTCAGAGGTATTCAAAATTTTGACCATTTGTGGGGGAGGTATCAGAATTAATGGGCCGACATCTACCATCTCTATAACAGAACTTGTGTTGATAGAAACATGGAGATATTTGAAAGGAATCGAATGTTAATTTCTCGTTTTATGAGCTTCATGGATATTCAAAATTTTAAACCTTTGTGGGGGAGGTACTAGAAGAAGTGGACCAATGTATTCCATCTTCACAGCAGATCGTGTGTTAGTAGAAATAATGGGACGTGTGAAATATGAAGAGAAAAGGAAATATGATCCAATCTCTGTCATATTTATAACAGATCTTGTGTTAATAGAAATATTGGGATGTGTCAAGTCTGAATGGAATCGAATTTAATTTTGCGTTTTATGAGCTTCATGGATATACAAAATGTTGACCCTTTGTGGGGGAAGTACCAGAAGAAGTGGAGTGATATAGTCCATATTCTCAGCAGACATTGTGTGTAATTTGAAAACTACCGGACTTTTACATCACATTTTATAAGAGTTTTAATTATTCAAATTTGTTGCCCTTTGTGGGGAAGTACTTGATGGAGTGAACCGATAATGTATATTTTCCCACTTAACCTGGCACTAATGCAAATATTAGGATATGAAAAGTTAGAGCAAAATCGGATTATCCTTTCTCTTTCTGTGAAGTAAATGATTTTCTTTTAAAATATTGACATTTTGTGGGGGAGGTACCAGAAGGAGTGGACCGATATCGGACGGACATCGCTAGACCGACTGCAACTGTCCTGAAACGGATTTGGTCCAAAGAGACCTGGGGTCTAAAACCGTTGTTTCGATGAGGCACGTTTTGGCCGTATCAAATGATATATACCCTCTGTACCATGGTAGAAGAATACAGGTAGATGTATCAACGCTTGGGAACACTGGTATGTCAAAAATTTTTAAATGTTTTTTTTTTTTTTTTCTAAAATATGTAGATTTTTATAAGTTTTTTATAATGATATACATTTTGTATTCTATATTCTTCTACCATGCGCTGTACCCATATGGCTGAGGGTATAAAAAACAACGATCTCAAGCTTGCCTATTTTGCAACACCAAAACACAGGGGCTCAATTCGGAAGTGAGATCCGTAGTAAATACGACAAATGTCGAATTAAAACATTTTATAAAGAAAATATTTTTCAAATTATATTTTCATAGAAAAAAATTCAGCCTCCGGTTTTAAGCTCTGTTATGTAACTTTCATGGTGGAAGAATACAGATAAATGCATCAACGCTTGGGAACATTGATATGTCAATTTTTTTAATGATTTTTCAAAAATTAGTAGATTTTTATGTTTTCTTAGATGATTGGCGCCTTTCAGAGATTGTTAATATATGAATTTTTCAGTTTTTACAAATATGAAAAATTTTTCATTCGAAATTTTCAATTCCAAAATTGGTTTGATATTTCATTGTCCAGCACCTGTGTCGATGCGACTACCTGCACTCTTCTACCCTCTTTTTGAATAATTTACAAACGAGTTTTTTTTTTCAGTGAGGTTTCAATATGTGTTAATATTATTTTTTAAGTTCGTGATGATTCTACGATCTATACAAGTATATGACGATCTCGACGTCTACAACTTTTTGACAGTCGGAAACCTAAAAAACTGCCAGCGCGTTTTCAATCAAAACAAAAATTAAGGTTGTTTACTCAAAAATAACGGCTTCTTTCATTAAGAAATCAGAGACGCCTAAAAGTATGCAATGTTAAAAAGTTTCAATTACTTCCATTTACGATAAAATATTATTGCTTTGTACTAAAAATAGGGATGCAAATTTCGAATTCTAAGACGATTAAAAATATATTGGCGGCAGCATGTTGAGATGAAATATCAATTTGAAAAAGTAGCAATAAGTAGTGTAATTTACAGACAACCAATCGAAATACAATTTTATAAAAAAGGAAGCTAAAATTCGTGACTTAGGGGAAATTATACTACATCAGGGACAAAATTTTGCATTCGATAACGAAAATAATACAATAGAAATAAATTTTAAAATGTAAATTTCAGGATGATTTAATTTAAAACAAGTTAAAAAGCAGTTAATTCGGCCTGGCCGAACTTTGAATACCCTCCACCATTTGGAACGAATTTGCAAATTGCCAAAAAATAAAATCTGTTAAATATTCTGTACAAATCTTAAAAATACCGAATATAGCCGTTATATGTATTGGGGTCTATACGACGTGGTCATTGTTTGTCATAAGCCATTACCATATTCAAATTCGAAACTTGAAATAAACGGTGAATAATGTAGCTAAAATCATCAAAATACCGTATATAGGGAGGTACCATTATATCGGAGCTATACGAAGACCTGGACCTGCATAGACAATTTTCTGTCACAGGCTGTAGCATCCATTACGAACTTCAAATACAACATCTCAAACAATTTCGGTAAGTCGTCAAAATACCGAATTTCGGGAGGTGACGTTATATGGGTGCTATACGAAGACGTGGACCTGACCTGCACAGACAATTTTCTGTCTTAGGCTGTAGTATTCATTTCGAACTTCAAATACCACATTCGAAACAATTCCGGTGAATAATGTCGCTAAAATCATGAAAATACCGAATATCGGGAGGCTATATGAAAACGTGGACCTACATGGCCCATTTAAGAACCTGCCTTCTATCTCAACTCGATCGAAAGATAGCGTGATTACAACAGACAGACACACGGACATCGCTAAATCGAGGGTATAAAAATGAAAGAAACTACTATATATCGGTAGTGAGAAAACGATCCTGGAAGTTTCCACCACAATTTGTATTTTCATCAATCTTAAATGCATACACAATAAATCATTTCGATCGAAATTCAGAGGAGATTAAATATCAGAATTTGGCCCCAGCAGTGCGATTCTATAACTAGTTGTAAAAGGAATTTAGAGAATCCACACATTTGATCTGTCCGGAGACAAAATGAAAAACTCTTGGAATAAATGATACAACAGTTTTTATTCAGTTGTTATTTCGATTTTTTGAATGTGTAAGGATGAAAAAATTGGAAATTCATACCAAAAAAATAGGAAAAATTTAAAACCTTTTTCAGTTTTGTTTCGAAATATTTTAATGTAATGTAATTCAATTTGTAATTCGTAACTTAACAATTGTAATTTGGTAATTCCTTCAGTAAGTCGTTACCATTTGAAATTCGAATTGTTCTATTATCATTCAAATTATTCCATTTCAAATTCCAAAAAATAAAAAATTGAATTGATTCGAATTTCAAGTAGAATAGTTCGAATTTAAAAAAGAATAATTAGCGTATAGAATTACGAATTGAGATCTCGAAGTTCAATTGAAATTTTACAAATTACTACTAAAATCTTTGAAATTATATGCGGAAAGAGTGTAGTAAACATATATTTTCCACAACTTTACATAAAGAGCACATATTTTTTTCATTCGATATCGAAAAAATTGCGATCGAAATCAATTTTTACATGGTCATTTTAGATTGATAAAAATTAAAATGTTGGTAGAAGTAATATATACTCAGCTGTAACATTCAATATTTAGTCGTTTCTATAGACATTTTCAATTAATCAAGGTTACAAATGTCTTGTTAAAATTCATTTCGATCGAATTTTTTTCATATCGTATAAAGAGAATTGGGCCCCAAAACGCACATTGATGGATGGCAGATGTAAGCAATTATCTCAAATTCCACATTTTATGCATTTCAAAAGTAAGTCCTCAATGAAAATTAAAACATAAAAAAAAACACATTCTGTATACATACATTTTTGTTTTAATATTTTATTTAAAAAAGATTTTACAAATTTCAAAGAAAACTAAATTAAAAAAGTCTATAAAAACGTATATAAGCTATGAGAAAATCAACTTAAAGCTTGTTCTGAAATTGGAATACACAGATGTAACGAATGTTGTAATAGCTTCATAATCATCACTTTATAACATAAATTATATGAATAGAAAGAGAAAGTGAGGGTAGAAAATAGAGAACAGAAATGTAGACACGAAATGTTTATGAGAGAAAAATAAAAGAATGTCAACGAACAGAAGACATCAACAGATATTCTCTGCAATTGTGAGAAAAAAATCAGTTGCAATATGGAATGAGAAGGAAAGATAAACTTCGAACTAAAGCAGTTACATTTATAGCAAGCTGCTTTAGTAAATACATAAAAAGTCTTTAAAATTGCTTCAGTTTAACAATTCACTTAATCTTCCAGTTTTCCCGTACATGTAAATATATATATGACAATACAAACACTTAACGTCAACTCCATCGCCATCCACACAGTAAAAATGTTTAGATAGTGATGTGGTTTTTAAGTTATGGTGGTGGTGGTTGGTTACAGTTCATCTTCTCGTTTGGAACAAACAAAAGAACAAAGTCTTCAGCGGATTCAGAATGTGTCTTTCTTTGCGCTTATTACTTTTATTATTATTATTCTTTTACTTTTTGTTGTTTGTGTTTTCTCGAAAAATCATCATTAATAAATCTACATTACAATTAAAATTCATTAACAATTGTTCATATGTGTGTTTCTCTTTTTGTATTTTTCTGTTTTATCTAATCGGAATATTACATTTTTCTGTTTCGCATTTAAACTTTTTATTTAATTTATAAAATTATTCATCTCCTTGCACAAATTGCAGTCTATGGTTGCAGCGGGATGCTGCAGTCCTGGGTATTACATTTAGTTAGTTTCATTTTCTTTAGGTAAATTTAAAATTAATAAACTAGAATTACAAATACAGCACGCACACATTCCCCCCTTGCACAAATCATCGATGAGAGGGAGACAGAGATTTAGTTATTCCTTCGGCTTCTTAAAAAATATGGCTGTTGGTGACTGTGACGACTGTGGCTATAAAAAAATTACCCTTCCATGTTACAATTTCTGCTTCGGCTTGATTTGCCTGGTGTATTCTTCTTCTTTATACAAATGTGACTGCTGATGTTGCTTGCGGCGCCGTTTGTTTGTTTCTTTGTAGATGTGAATGTTTTGTTGCTTTTTGTTTAGAATGATATACGTCGAAATGAGGTTTGAGGAAATCATTTCAGTTTGGCATAGGCATCAACCTTTTTATGGAATTGATTGTAGTATTCCAAGGCCAAGTTTTGTGTTTGATTCAAGGCTTTGCTCAAGTTTTCGGGTGAGAAACGGCCACTGGAAGCAAAGACAACGACAATTATCAGTTACATATAATTAGTTGAAAATAAAAGTATATGATTTGGGAATGTACTTACACCAACACTTGTGTTTTGAAGAAAGCAACCAATTTTCCAAAAACATCAACAGAAGCGGTCTTTACAGTAACTGCAGTATCCTCAATTTTCTTGGGCAAACCGGGCACGTATTGCTCCAACTGTAAACAATGAAATAAAAATGAATTAAAAACAGGTTGATATTAAAACAATGAGAGAAGATTTTGTGGAATACTTATTTATGTGTCATGTATATATTTAAAATTAATGTTGGACTAGAATTTTTTCTATCATTTACTTATATATGAAATATAGACATTGTTCAGAACACAAAAGGTGGTTGTGAGATTGTCAGTTTTTGATTGTACTACGTTTTGTTAATAAATGATTACCAGTTAATAAACATGACTTGAATTATGTTTACAATAAAAAATAAAAAATACCAAAGTGTCGATCACCTCAAGCATGCGCTTCGCCGGGAATGGGCCAAATTACCGCAGAGCAACATTCGGGCAGCGTGTGACGGTTTCATTGGCCGTTTGAAGGTCATAATTCGTGCCAAAGATGACCAATTCGAACAAATCTAAACTTATTCTAAAATTTGATGTTATTTCCGACATTTTTTGCTATCATTCAATAAAATTAAAAAAAAATGTAAAAATTCTGGCGTTTGACTTTGTTGCAGTTTTTTATCTCACCCTATATTAATAATAACTATCGACCACCATAATGACTGATCTCCTAGTGGAGCTTTCCCTGAGCATATCATCAATCCATTTTACAAGGAGTTGGGGTACATCAAGTTTTGAGAGTTATGAATGGATACGATTGTGACACTGCTAAGGCTCCCTTGATATCAAGAAAAGCTGCCAGGGTAAATATAGGACCATCTATATTTTTCTCGATGTGACCCACAACATAATGCTACGCTGTCTCAAAAGTTGTTGTATATATCGTTGTTATAGAGTGCATATTATGACTTTGAGAAGGTCCATATATAAAATTGGGTGAAACATATATATCAAAGCTAAAGCTATATATGAACCGATTTGATCAAAAATTGGCAGACTTGGCTGGATATTTTAAATGTATATCTGATATCTTGCACTGAATATCCTTGTTATAGCGCACTTTACGCCTTTGTGGTCTTAAAAATCAAATAGGATAAAACTTATATATGGAAGCTACAGCTTTCCAATTGCTTCCAAGCAAAATTTTGTTGCATGTAAAATTCATTGTTCTACTTCATTGGAAAGTGTGAATCAAATCACAACAGTTTTCGAATCTATTGGGCTCGTTGCTGCGAACAGTTTAAATGCACGATAACTTTACAAAACAAAAGTGATATCGGATAATAATTCAAAATACATTTGGTCTAGTTTTCACAGTTGTATACCCTTGAACTCCCGTTGTTTTTTCATCAGTGTGGTTAAGAAAATAAGTCTTGTTTTTATAAATTGCAGTAATTGTGTAGAACTTTTCAAAGTCGTAATTCTCTATGATAAACTTTATTCCTAAACCTGAATTTCTGGTCCCGTCCATCCCGTTAATATTTTTTAATTTTCGTAAAAAGACAACAAAAAAGACAAAGACTCAATTAAATGAATACCTCTAACTAATGCTGTCCGAATATTAAACACATCTAGAGAAAACAAGCATAAAACAGCCAAAAACAAAAAATCTACAAACAAAGAAACTCTAAACAGGTCAAAAAACTTCTACAGCAACAACAAACGACAACTCACAAAATAGAAAACCGAACAAAGGTGATTAATTTTAAGAAAACAATAAAAAAAATTATGGTGATGATGTCATAACAATTTCTAGACATCATTCATTAGCCATGAAAATTAAAACTAAATTACTCTTATGAGAGTAGATGATTTCACGATTGAGTGTTGCACACAACTACGACTACTTACAAATTGAGCTGCAACGGGCAATTTAGCATTGATCACTTCTTTGGTGGCGGTGAATGCATTGCAAGCAGCATTACGGAATAATTTCGTTAAATCACAAACCAATTTGCAGGCGGGTTTTGTGTAGGGTGGCAATGTCTTCTCGGCCCATTTGTAACCTCGAGCCGCGGTACTCATTGTTGTGTACCATGCCTTCTCGACATGTGGCAACACGCCGGCATTCTTCAACACCTTGCCGGTCGCCGACTTGGCAAATACACCTTTGCCATTGACTTCGGTGTCATAGAACAAAGCTCCAGCGATCAACGCGACGAGCAGTAAAGATCCCAAAGTCCATTTACAGCAACCGCATTTCTTTTTCTTTTCGGCGGTTTGTTTCTTTTTTTGTTGTGCTGTCTTTGTTTGTACATCCTGTAAAGTGCAAAAAAAAAACGTACAGAAATTGAAATCAGGTTTGAAAAATGTCAACGTAATTTTTTAACAATTATATTTGCGTATTTAGAAATTTCAATTTACGTTGTTGTTTTTTAATTACCTTTTTAGCAGCTTGTTGTTGTTGCTTGTTTTGTTTGTTCTTATTGCTTTTGGTATTTTGTGCCATTTTTATAAATATATATTTGTATTTATTTAAATGAGTATAAAATATGACTTTGTAATGCTTAATTTAAACTACAAAAAAAAAAAAAACAAACAAAAAAAAGTCAATGGATTGAATATTTTAAACGATTTTAAAATAGATGTGGTGGCTCTTATCACCAAACGATATTGAGTTGTAATATGAGTATATCGATACAAGTCTGTTAACAAATGTGCAGTAAATATATGATCATTGTACAGTATTATAAAACAGGAGACATTATTCAAAAATGACAGCTGAATCAGCTCAGTTTTAGTTCGTAGTAAATCACCGACGAGGTATTCTGAAAGCCGTTTGAAAAGGATTTTTTTAAAAAGGATATAAATTTGTCACACGATATACTAATCGGGTTCCAACTACAGATCATCTGGAGTGAGTAGGGCACCGGGTTCTACGATAACGGATTGACCCGAAACAACTACATCTAAGTTTCGGCCAGCGGCTGCCACTTCAGTGCATACATGGGGGGCTACGGTGAAGCTTTAGAGGAGTTTAAATTCACTCGGATGTACCGCATCATCCAAATATAGCGTCGTTGTGTCTTGTTTTTACAATAAATTAGACGAAAATATATGTGGGAGCTATATACAAATTTGAATAGATCTCGATATAATTGTTATGGAGTACATATTACTGCTTTTGGGGGACTTTAATATTAAGCTATGATGAGAAGAACTTCGTGGATGCCAGAACTTCACACATTGACATTTTTAATTGCCTGCGAAAAATCTGAGGGTTGATACACTGAGTGGTCAAAATAGTCAGTCTAAATAAGAGTAGTGAAATAACTGACTGACTGATTGAAACTCAACGGCCAGACGAAACGTCTGAAGCAAGAATCTTGCACGCGGGACAGTCTTGGTGCTTATGCGTTTATGGATTTTTGGAATTCGGTACTAAAAGGGAATATACTATGTATTAAACATACTTTGTATCCGACAAACGAAATGAGCTAGAATTCTAAGATTTGGAAAAAGAATTACTGATGGAGTGCAGAATACATGTACCAAAGGGTTTCGTATTAGTTTAAACCTTTAAACGAAGCGGTGCATAGGCGTGTGATAAGTCTGGATTTTAGAAAATTGGATTAAAAGGAAATGTACTATATATTTCGTATAATATTTTGTATTCAATTGAACCTTGAAATTTTTTATGAGAATCAAGGATGAAAAGTATGTTGTAATGTCCACAAAGTGTGTCAGCTGTACTAAATGGTACTAAATTTGAAACAGTTTGGCTTAGGGTGATCGAATGAAGCTGGAATTTTCAGATTTTGTATTGGTGTCTCTGTTGGTGGTATTTTTGAGGTGGTAGTAAAGGTGGTTTTGAACTAGTTTGTACAAGTGCACGAAAAGTACTAAATAGTATTATATTTGGTATAGTTTGGTATTGGCTGAACAGATAGTGCTTGAAATCTGAAAAGTCTGGTCATACGGTGGTGGTTTTGGGAAATATGTTCAATAATTGTAAGAAAATTACTCAATATTTGGTATTGGGTGAAGGAATACAAATTTTAAATTTGGCATAAATGTCACTGTTGGTGTCTGTGGTTAAGATATAGAAGTGGTTTTACAAACGCGTACTATAATTGTTCGAAAAGTACTATATTGAACTGAATTTGATATTAGGTGAAGAGATAGAGCAGTCTAGGATTGAGACATGGAACGGTTTTGCAAATGAGTCCAAAAATTATATGAAAAGTACTAAATGTTACTAAATTTGGAGTTGGGTGAAGGTATAGGCCTATATCATATTTGATATAGAGGTCTCTCTGTTGATATCTGGGATTGAGATATGAAGATGGTTTTGGATATGTGTACTTTAAATGTACGAAAAAAAAAAACTAAATTGTAATAAATTTAACATTGAATGAAGGGGTTGGGCTGAAATCCTTAAATGGCCACTGTTGGTATCTGATGTTGAGATATGGAGATTGTTTTGAAAATGCCTACTACAATTGTTCGAAACCTACTAAAAGGTACTACCTTTGGATCACTGTAGATGTTTAGATGTAGATTATTTGGATATGCGTACGAGGTTTTACTAAATTTGGTACTGGGTGAAGGAATAGAGCTGAAATTTAATATTGAGGTCACTATTGGTCTCTAGGATTTACATATGGAGAAGTTGAAACAATTTAGGACAGAAAATTTGGATGTGAGTCCATTGTCCAATGCTTTTACTAATATCCTCCTCCGTTCACTTCAAAATTAAGGATTTTGAATACTTTTTGTTTTGAATGTAAAACATTTGTTCTCTTTTCCAGAGCCTGCAATAATCTATTAGTTTTACAATATTTTTCAATATCATAAAGCGAAAAACGGGCATCATAGTAAACATTTTTACATTCTTGCAGTTCTGGAAAAAATCATTTACTTATATTCTTTCCGGAAAAGGAAAAACTTGAATAAAATTTGAAACCTTGAGAATTTAGTACGTGGTATGAAGTTTAGATTAAAAATGTTAAATTGAAGAAATTGTGCATTTTGAGTGCTATAAAGGCACTGTAAAAACGAGTCTAACATTTTAAGATGAACATTTCGCTGACAAAGTAGCAGGTAATTGCTAGTCTTATATAAGTGGTATTTTAAAAAATACAACATTTGCGACACTTTTTGAGCAATCTTGGCATTTCATATCAGGTCTGTCTGATTAACGTAATGGCCACAAGTTTTGTCACAAATTGTATAATACTGGCGAATTAATAAGTGACTAGCAAGCAGTCGGTTGTAAGGCTAGCCAAATAAAATGCTCAAAGGTCACATGCGTACGGCTACGAATATTTGATATGCAGTCCAAACATCCCCCTTTCGCCCTCCTCTGTGTATTGCTCTTATGTTTAAAAATAAAAAGTCGTTACCACTAAATAATCTTCTTTTAAAATTTTGCAAATATTTTGTATTGCAAATAAAATCAGCTTTATCAGCGTTCGGCAGTCACATACATATGTACCTAACACATGCACAAAGCCCTGCACAAAAACAAAGCAAGATTCTATCCAAATATTTTGAACAATAAAAAACCAAAAAGACAAAATATGTGAATAATAAAAAAATGTGAAATGTTTGTTTTTGTCAAACACCTGAAATGCTGATGTGTCCCAATTCTGATTGGTAGAAGAAAAAAAAAACACAAAATATCAATAACCTCCCAATATTGATATTTTCTTTTCGTTTCTTTCAAATCCCTCGCATAATCTTTATTATGAGCGTTTAATTAACTCAAGTGTTTAAACTGATAAAAAGAATCGAACAAATCGAATTTGTTTTCCCAAGAAGCATTCGTTTCTACTTTCTTTTAAACCGCTTTTAAAAAGTGGAGAAATTTGTAACTACAGACGCCAACACAAACACACAGACAGACAGATGCTCTTGAAATATTGTTTGATATGTTTCAGTTTCTTTGACGTGATGTCTTCGATTAAAGATTCTTGCGTAGAAAACAACAACAAAAGCACTGGCCGTGTGTTATCTCAAAAGACAAAGAGGCCAAGCAACCAAACCTTTTGGAAAGTTTGTCCGTCTAGTCGGTTTTTGTAGATGAAAAATTAGTTTCTCTTCGTTTTGTTTTGTTTCTGTTCACCACCACTGCCGTCCGTCCGTCCGTTCGTCACCATCATCATCAACATTGCTCCACACAGCGCCAAATAGCATTTCAACACGTGGCACTTCGTCTGTCAAATAATCTCTACTTTCTGATTGCCTTTGCTTTTTCTCTCTTTTAGTGTTTATGTTGTTTTGAGTTGCGCTGGAACATTTTCGGTCACTCGAAATGTTTGTTCCTTTTGCTTTGACCATTAACTGGGTAGTACTTTGGCCTCTGTAATTTTATTTTCGTAATTTGTACATGTCGCAATAGCTAATGTCACACCAAATACTTTGCAAAATGACCAACTATCCATATTTGCAAATTCTCTTTTGGATAATTGTATGTGTGTGGGTAATTTGTTTCTAGTTTCTAGTCTATTACCTCATAGTGCGCGTATTGCGGTAATGGTAATGGCACAAATCGTGAGATACATACATATTAGAAAAACACGCAAATTGTACACATGTGTATTCATTGGGACAATTTTGTCTACAGCAGACTGAGGGTGTCTAGATGGAAAAGAGAATATAATGTGGAGAGCATTTCGGTTCAGGATTATAAAGATGGTTTTAATCCGTAAATCCATTACTGCAGATCTGCTGATGATAATTATCAACAACTGAAATAAGCAAGTTTGTTAGCAGATCCAATTTTGTTTAACCTTAGGTTTGATTGATAACTTCATAATAATTACTGACTAAATTTTCTGATTGATAACTCGAAAATTACAGACTAAATATTTTCAATATGAATCTGTAAACTCTCAAAAATTCGGTAATGTAAACTGAAATGGCAATTTACTCTCATTTACTGGACATTTGGTTATTGAACAACATTTCGCAATAAGTTTTACAAATTATTAAAATATTGAATAACTAAAATTTAAAACCTATCTAATTGGTTAACACAAAAGTTTGTAGACACATCGGTAACTGTAGTGGCATTTGAGACCTGTTAGCGTATAATAGTATTTCTTATACTTTACCAGCTGTTCAACCTCCAAAAGCTCGACAGGATAAAATCTAAAAACTTCGTTGTCCGCAGCTCCACGATTTACTTGGCATACGTGGAACATGGAGCATTGCTCTGATATGAGATCATAAATATATCACAAACATACTTAGGTGTATCATAAATTTAGGCCGCATACGATTGCTTGCAATAACAACAAAAGATAAGCACAAAA